ATGTATTACTATTGTTTGAATCTTGGAGTATTGGACTTGTTGGTTTCTTTAACGTAGCCTCGGCTTTAACAAAAATATCTTCCAGAATATGATTGAATGCAACTGTTGTAAGATTCAATTTTGGTGTTAAAGTTTAATATCCGTTGGGTGTATCACGCCGTCTGGGGACAAAGTCTTCAGATCACTGCGATATTGCAACAGTTCTTTACCAACCAAACCACTTGACTTCAACGCTTGTTGACACAATTGATAATGTAAATTAGGCCCCTATAATGATTGCATTGGCACTTGGCATTATACCCAACCACACATTGAACGCAAATATGAACAATGATAAACTTTCCGTCTTGGCTCTTTTACTTCACAGAGCACCGCCTGGCTTGTTAGTTGGAAATGACACTGATGTTTTTATTCTACCCACATTGATATCGCGCCCTCTTGCGATTTTGACAGTTACAGACAATACTCTCAAAACCTACACAGGCACTCTCGGTAAAGTTGTTGTGGTAGCACCATGTGGCAAAATCTATTTTGTGAGTTTGTAGGGTTCTGAAAATGACCGGAGAACCACACATACTCACACCAATGTTTACCACATGTTGCTACCGCAACAACTTAGCTTATTGTAGCGGTGAAGCCACATATCTAGGGTCGCCTCGTCGGCGGGCTTCGCCGGTTTATTAAAACACGGATGACAACACACTTCAGAATCTCTTCTTTCTTTATTTTGCACTGCAGGGACCTCACAAAAAGGTGTTTTAGGCTCAGTGACGATGCAGTAAAATTTAGAACCCTGAAATTACAATTAGTAAACAACTTAACGAGCTTTGGCATATTACACAATTTTGTATTAATTAAAGTTTCCATTTTAATAATTAGATTTCTAAAATAATGTAGTACAGATACGTACCCAAGTATCAGGTTCAAACAAGGATATATCTTGATTGGATTACAGCACAGCTCAGATCAAAACCAGTGATCTAGGCACATCAAAATGCTTGAAAACGTGCAATGATGTAGCCCGACAATGAGAAAAGGCCTACAATACGGTCTGCCGTTAGTTGAACTCGCTAACGTGGTACCTGGTTTCTTTTGCGTGCGCGTCCCGAATGTAAACATTTTGTGGCAAATGTATACATTTCGTTGGGCTGAAGAAGTATGGAGCGCCCCAATGATTTTCGCTAATTTCCCACATTATTATTACCCTTCACCATGCAAACCTTCAAATCTCATCTGCTCTCGGTTTGATACAGTTTCATATATTGCATTACCATTGGAGTGTACTATAAAATGATGGCACCGGTTAATATCAAGTGTACTAGTGGAGCTAAATGCTATACAACCCTTCATATGCCCATTTCAAGGCTAAAAAGTATGCCTTTGCGAAACTGAATGTATGGGATACTACCAGAAATTGTCAATTTTGTCCAAATGCATACCTACATTTAACAATGATAATAGGCCTTTTAGCTCAGCTTGTAAAATGCGACTTGTTGGAAGAAGAATTTTAAAGGCTCGCTAGCGGTTTAATAGGTATAAGTAGAGGAATGTTTTTGCTGATATTTTTTAGCGTCATCGTTAAATGTTCGACAATGATTCGATTTGGTTATATTGAAACTTGAGTAGATTCGTTAAGCATTAAAAGCTGTTGCGAATTGTCGTTTATTTGTCGATTTATTTATTTCTTGATTATATTTCTTTAACCAAGGTATGCAAAATTTCGTTGTCGTTAATTGCTATTTTTTTGCAAACACAAACTGCAGTGGGAGGAAATGTCATCGCCTTAATAGTCTGTGGAAAGCTTAATTGGGCCCATCGACAAAATGGTGGTGAATTGTCCTTACTTTCATCGTGGCTGAAGTTGTTAAACATGTTGGGGTATTTTATTACTACTATGACAACCAATTTGAAAAGTCATTATTTTTTTTCCTCGCGGGCTGCATGCTCAGAGAGAGAGTTACAGTCTGTTAACATGGCTCATAGTGAAACCTGCAATCAGCCGGGGCGTTGTTGGTTAACCATAAAGACAAGAAGAGTGACAAAGAGTGTCTTTCCGCTGGACTTTTGCTCGAGTGGTTGTGTAGTTATCAGGCGCGGATCCAGGGGGTTTCGGGAGTCAAACCCCAAGCTCTGTCAATTTTTTTTGGCATAGAGATTAGTTGGAAATAATGAACCCCCTCCCCCCCCCCCCCCCCAAGTGCTCTGACACCCAAAATACTTAAACTGGTAATACTATCCGCCCGTGCACAAAATACGGAAGGAGGCAGCTTGGTTACGGTGTGTTTTACAGTATTCTGTAATATAGTGTTAATAATCGTCGGATTTGAACAGCGCCGCCATTGAAAGTAAGGCCAGAGGCGTCGCGTGGAGGCCCCATGTTCTATCTGATCAAATTAGTCATGGTTGGGACCTGATTACAATTATATCAAATTACAATGTTACGGTATTGTATCCAAAGTCTTTTTTTAAAGTTGTTTTTGCAAGCATGTACATAACCAACTAATGCATTAAAGGAAACAGACAAAAAATTATAAACAGTTTTTTTCAGGGATGTTCAGGATAAACTGATGCGAAAACGTGATTGGTAGTGATTGTCTTTTGTTAAATCTTTCTGTCTGGAAGAATGTTCATTGTGAGCCCTCCGTTCATGCAGGTTAACAGAGCAAAAGGAAAAAAAATCCAATGCTTAATTACACCTTTAAAACGCTGGTTAAAATTTGGTTGGTTGAAAAAAGTTTGTTAAATTTTAATTAACACTGTGCAAGATTTTCACATTTTTCCCAAATGTTTACCAAACGTTCGGCACATTTTGCCCATTCTGTTGGGTATTCATGTTAACCAACTGTTGGGCTGCTCACCTGGTAAAAACAGTTCATTGAAATTAGTCATTTTACCCATGTCGGTTATTTGGAAAATTTTACACTATGTGGGTAACAATTCTTATCAACTTTTTCAACCAACCAAAATTAACCAGCGTTTTGAGCGTTTACGCATCATGCGTTTATAACACGGCTCCATGCGTGAACTTCATCACGACAACAGACGGAAATTCAGTACCTTATGCAATAATCTACTATTCGTTTTAATAACGTAAACAACTGAACAAATACTTGCAATTTACACTGATCAGCATCATGAGATAGTATTTATTAAAGTAAAAGAGAAATGCGATTTTTTGGTCTGATGCATGGAAAATTATAGTCTACAGAACATTTTCAACATATTTAAATTTCCTGCCTAACACTTTTAAAATTTGACTAAGCCTGGGATAACGCCACACTTAACTAAGAAAAGATTTTTGTGAATTTTAATGACTACAAGCGTGTTCTGTTCAAAAATAAAATTAAGCAAGAGTAAGGTAAATTATTGATATCTTACAACATTGTGATTCAGTCTACACATTTTCTTTACTTACATGAAACGAAGAATCGCATTTTAGATGACAGCATGTTTACAACATTTTTTAAAGTCTATACACTCTGAAGATTTTCGTTAAATTTGATTAGAAATCAGTCGACTTTGCATTGTATTCAGATGAGTGCAATTAAGACTTTTGTCTTGTTAAATCATTTTTTTTTACATGCGGTGTCTGTATCTTAAAGTGCTTACCATTGCCAATACCAATGGACTAAAACTTTGAACTGATATCACAAGACGTCAACTGGCAATGCACATGCAAAATTTAACTATGAAGACGGTTTGATTATTAAAGATGAAGGTGCTCAGAGTATTTACACTGATGATGAAATTTGGAAAAAGAACTAAAATCGAAAAACCAAAAACATTAAAACAAAAGTGAGATTATTTAGTCAGTTATTTTGCAGTGTTGTAGTCGAGTACTTTTTTCCGAGTACCGAGTACTGCCGAGTACCTAGGTTGCCGAGAACGAGTATGAGTACGAATACTTGAACGTCCGAGTACGAGAACGAGTACGAGTACTTGTACTTCTGAGTACGAGTACGAGTACTTGTATTCCGAGTACGAGTACGAGTATTTGTTTTTCCAAATGCGGCTTCGTGTACTGGTAATCACTTGGTCTTTGTCAGCACATTTCAATCATTTGAAATTAATTTGTTTTTTAATCTGAAACAGCAGTCTCATATCAATGTATTTTCCAAGGAAATGCCACACAGCTAAGATACAGACATGAAAGATTAGGTCTAAAAGTACTCGAGTAGTACTCGAGTACGAGTACCGAGTACGAGTACTACAACACTGTTATTTTGAACATGTCGCAATAAAAAATACAACAAACCCGAGCCAAATTTCACCCTTGCCCCCCTCCAAAAAAAAAGGCACGTGCCGAAGATATATCAATGAATATATCACCAAAATAACACAACTTTCTTGTTACACTACAAATGGTCCGAGTGGTCCAATTGAAGCCCTTACTCAGAGTCACGTGGTCTGGGAAAGCGGATCATGTCGAGGGAGTGCGCAGGCTCAGTCTACGCTCTTGTCTCCTGCATCGGAGAAAGTGTTGTATTTGTGGACTGCTGGAAGTAGGCGCCATGCGCAGGTGAGTCCTAGCCAAACCATGCCTGAAAAGGGTCACGTTTACTTTTCAGTAGGGATTTGAAATCTAAACCCCGATATAAAGACTGAATGATTTTTCGTATTGAGTCCAATGCGTCGTTTTTCAGGGACAGTTTTCTTTCGCCCATGTTTCCCTGTACCGCACCAAGCAGATCATGGTTTGCGCGTTATCAAGGAATATGAATCATATGGTCAACTTGTTGCCTTACGTAGGGCTGCATTCACATTCAAGAAATTCTCAGTGATTTGGGAAGAACTCTGATCATTTTGTGCTGGTATGCTAAATGAGTGGTGTTATTAAAATAGTATGAGTTTCTGTGTCGGATAGTTTGCGCCCAAAGGAATCACACGAACCGTTCAATATTTAATACGTGTGGACCAATCCCTGGGAACATCAGGCCAAACGGACCGAAGCATGTGGGTGTTGTCACTTAAGACGGGTTGTTGTACAGCCTCTATCTGTCTCACACTCGCTGAAAGATCTTGACGGAGTTCCTATCAGCCACTACGAGGTCTCCGCTTTGAGTGAATGTCAGGCTGAAGGGATTGTGAAGTCCGCGAGCCACCCGCCCAATGAAGACTCCCGCAGGTGAATAATGGTGCACTTCACAGCTATCAAATCCTCCACTGCCTTCATCGCCTTCACTGCCGTCATCGGCTTCGTCGCTTTCACTGCCTTTATCGGAATCACTGCTTTGACCTTTCCCGATACCAACGGCAACATAGATGTCCCCAGCATCATCGCAGCACACTTGCCCGGGTCTTACAGGTTCCCCGTCAAGTGAAGTATCGACACTGAACACCTCATCTCCCGTATAGGTAATGCAAATCAACTTACTCTCAAAGACGTTTGTAAAAATCAAGCGTTCCCTGATCCCGATAGCCAAGCCACCACTGACCATGTCATTTGGAATGGTTCTAATTAAGGACCCATCCAGACGGTGCAAAGAAATCATCTTTCTGACGGGGTCTGCCACTGCTATGCGATTCTCCTTGTCCACAGCGATACCAGTATAGCCATCCTCATCGACTGCATCGTCCGGTAATGCTTCGAACTGGCTAATGTATAATAGACCGGAGTCCAACACCTTTACATACTTTTCATCTTCGACAAGAAGAAGACCACCAACGGTCACAGCAACTAATCCGGGGTCATTCAAAAGCTCCCCACCAATACTTTCTTTATACTCCCCAGTAGAAGTAAACACCATCAACTGCTGTTTCCATAAGTCGGTTACGGCTATGTCACCATTGCTTAGACATGCGACGCCTGCAGCAAACTCCAATTTCCCATCTTCTGGCCCCGTATCACCAAACTCTACTTTCAACTGCCACTTTTCTTCCTGAAGTACTTCACCGAGGTCTGTATCTGCTACGACATCTTGACATTTGACCCCGATGAATGAGAGCTCATGCTGTGCCTGCTCAAATTCGAGTTCATCCTGGAACTCTAAGTTATTCATCACCTTCGGTTTGAGATTCAAAAGCTCGAAGTCGTCAGCTTGCTGCATCAAGTCGTTGACTGTCGCTACGATTTGTTCGGCCCGCTCCATCTTGTCACGGCTGCTTTTCTGGACTTCCTCGAATTTCCTAACTCGTGTCTCACCGATTAGTGTTACTTTGTTTCTAAGTAGCCGAGACTTGTTTCTGATCTTTGCAATCTCTTCTTCTTCTTTGGCGGCAATGTCTTTACAAGCCCGGGCGACCATGATTCTGACCCGGTTTTTTGCATGCGTCAGTGAATCATCGGCGACTTTGAATTCCTCTCTGCTCTGTTCGAACCTCTGCAGAATCTCGCCGACATCCTGGCGGTATGATTGAATGGCATCAGCGACTTCTCTATATTCATGTTCCGCTGTTCGATGATCTAACTCAGCACATTTCCCGCACGCCAATGCCTGGCATGTCTCGCAGTAAAAACATAGATCCTGGTTAGTGTGCTGGTTACATTGCGGAGTATCTTTCTTTCGAGGTTCGATCGGGGTTACATCAAATCTGTTCTGTTCTTTTCTAACGATCCGATGGTGTCTCGTGGATTTCATGCGTTCGTGGGCTTCGAGGCACTTAGTGCAGATAATTTTACAGCAGTCCAAGCACCTTGAGACGGCTTCTAAGCCCTCGTCACATTCCTCACATGTACGAATATCCGCTGGTGCATCTCCCAGCAACCGCTCCTGCTTGTTGAATTCATCGACGAGGGCACTCAGGAAAAAGCAGTTGGGTAGACCCTGCAATCTGGTGTCTGGTACCGCAGTTACCCGCCTGCAAACTGGGCAAGTAATCTCGTGTGCCTTGGGTAGTTGTCTACTGGTGAACTCTTTCAGACAATTCAGGCAGAAACTATGCAGACAATCCAGTATCTTGGGATCGGTGAAACGACAGCAACAAATCGGGCATTCGAGGTGTCCCCGACTGATCGTACCCAGCACGGATGTGGCTGCAGCTTCCACCATCTACGAAAAAAGGGAGAAAAGACATTCCCAGTGCCATAGTGGGACAACGTATCGTAACATTTGTGATGCATATTGGTTGAAAAAAATGATTGAAAATCTGAGAAATCATCTTGCGATTTGTCACAAACCTTTTACTAAGTTGTGCAGCCGTTGTTTGAATTTTAAGGTAGCGAAGGGGTAATATAAAAACAGCGCAGTTTTATTTTGTCTCAACGGGGTAATGGGGGCTATTGAAGTCCAGGGGTGGAATGCGATAAGGTGCTTCATAAGGCCCGCGTGCTTATCATTATAGCCCAATAAAAGGTTTGCATGTCTAGTTTCATTCTAGAACAGGTATTTTCACCTTTTTTTTAGTGTTACATAGTAACAAATTTCTTCTGTCATCATAATAGCGTACATAGAAACCAGCTGTTTTAGCATACACCGATATCAATCTTTCCCATTTACTCTTTGTAATCAAACTATTATGTAAGTATATTAAAAATGATAACACCATATATTATAACCAATGGTTCCTATATACATTTATATAGTACATCAAAATTAATGTTGTGTATATCATTCACGATTGTTAAACATGCTTTATAAAGATCGTAATAACTCGATTTGCAAAATTGTAATAAATGGGAAAAATGATATTTGTGAGAATAAAAAATAAAATAATTTCTTTTAAGTTCATCATTCAGACCACCCTGTTACGAGCCAATGCAATTATATATATACAAATAAGTGTGTACTGTCAATAACCTAAGTTTGTTCAGTCACTGCCCGTAAGATTGAGCTTGTTGTTTTAACCACGGTTTAGTTTGTCTATTAACCAAAATTTATTGTAATATGCATTTCCACGACTTCATCACCAGGCACGTAAGCAATCGCAATTACTTTATGAACATATAAAATGGTTAAAATGGTTACCCACATATTGCACTGGTATTTATATACTTTGGCACCTACCTTGTATGAACTTTCAATGTCTTGCAAAGGGTAACAATTGAAGCATAGTACTATCGCTGTGAGGGAATGCAGACATCCAGATGATGATTGTAATGGATTCGTATCCACTGTGTAATATACCACTCCAATTTCGCAATGTCGGGAAAACCAACAGCTATTTTTGTAGCACAATGCATGTCGAGCGGTTCAAAGTCACAGCGATCATGCGGTGTACTCGTGTCTAGCACTTTTGTTACCTTTGCTACCTCTCAACGCCTGGCACCATGGGCGTCGCGAGGGGGGGGGGGCTAGGGGGTGCACTTGCCCCCTGGAAAAGCAAAATAAAAAAGGGGGACAAAAGAGAAAAAAAAGAAAGGAAATGGTGCGAAGTCATAGTGGTGTAAATTTAATGGGTTGGGTTGGGGGGCAAAATGTCCCCGCCCCCTCTGAAACTTATATATCGACTTATATTAAACTTATATATTGAATATTCAGGAATTTGTTAGGAAAGCTATGTTTTGTCCCCCTCTAGAAAAAAATCCTGGCACAAAACAACGAGCAACGTCACTCAATCTTACAATACTTATAAGCTTCTGTATTTTTGTTGAAATGTTTTACTATTGTTTTACTTTAGATGTATTAAATCAAATTTGTGGGTTTCTGTTACCTAGCCTCGGCTTTAAAAAAATTCTTCCTGAGTATCAATGAATGCAACTGTTGCGAGATTTTGGTGTTCAAAGTCAAAGTCCTGTGGGTGTGTAACGCCGCGTGAGGACAAAGTCTCCAAGGCACATCACTACAATAATTATTGAATCACATCTTTGACAACCGAACCACTTGACTTCAACGCTTGTTGACACAATCGATAAAGTAGATTAGGCCCCAATAATTATTGCACTGGCCCATGACATTGTACCCCTCTACACATTGACCGCACTGATACAATGGTATTAAAACTCCCCTTGTAGGATCTTTTAATTCACAGAGCACCGCCCGGCTTGTTATTTGCAAATGACGCTGCTGTTTCTATTTTACCCACTTTGATATTGCGCCCTCTCGCGATTTTGAGAGTTACAGACAACTATCTGAAAACCTACCCAGGTGTTCTCGGTTCAGTTTTTGCGGCAGCACCGTGTGGCAAAATCTCTTTTGTGAGTATGTGTGGTTCTGAAAAGAACCGGAGAACCACAGATTCTCTCAAAGGAGATTTGACCACATGGTGCTACCGCAACAACTTACCTTATTATTACCCTTCACCATGCAAACCTTCAAATCTCATCTGCTCTCGGTTTTGTACAGTTTCATTTTTTGCATTACCATTGCAGTGTACTATAAAATGATGACACTGGTTTATTTCAAGTGTACTGGACCTAAGTGCTATATGACCATTCATATGCCCATTTCAAGGCTAAAAAGTAGGCCGTTGCGAAACTGAACGTATAGAATACTACCAGAAAATGTCCATTTTGTCTAAATGCATACCTACATTTGACAATAACAACTAAACAACAGGCATTTTGGCTCATTTTGTAAAGGCGACTTGTTGGGAGAAGAATTTTACAGGCTTGCTAGCGTTTTAGTAGGTATAAACAGAGGAATGTTTTTGCTTATATTTTAGAGCGTCATCGTGAAATGTCCGACAATTATTCGATTTGGTTATATTGAGATTTGAGTAGATTCGTTAAAGCATTAATAGCTGTTACGAATTTTCGTTTATTTATCGATTTATTTATTTATTGCTTACATTTCTTTATCCAGAGTATGCCAAATGTCGTTGTCGTTGATTTTCTTTTGCAAACAAAAACTGCAGTTAGAGGAAATATTACCTCCGGAATAGCCTGTGAAACGCTTGGGCCCATCGACAAAATGTTGGTGAATTGTCCTTATTTTCATTGTGGTTGAAGTTGTTAAAAATGTTGGTGTATTTTATTAATACTCTGACAACTAATTTGAAAAGTCATTATTTTTTTTACTCGCGGGGTGCATGCTCAGTGAGAGTTACAGTCTGTTAACATGGCTCATAGTGAAACCTGCAATCAGCCGGGGGCATTGTTGGTTGACCTGCTATAAGGACAAGAAGAGTGACAAAGAGTGCCTTTCCACTGGACGTTTACTCGAGTGGCAGTGTAGTTATCAGGCGCGGATCCAGGAGGGTTTTGGGGGTCACCCCCCTCCCCCTCAGCTCTGTCAATTTTTTTTTGCATCGAGATTCGTTAAAAATAATGCGAACCCCATTCCCTGACACCCAAAAAAATATACTGGTAATGGTAATATTGTCCGCCCGTGCACAAAATACGGACAGAGGCAGCTTGGTTACGGTGTATTGTACAATATTCTGTGATATATCTATTTATATAAGAGAGAGTTTAACTCGGCCTCCGAGACGATGTTTGCTCATGAAAGGATCCGAGACCGCGGGCTCCCGCGGCGCCAAAATCGCTCCACGTCCGTGGAAAAATGCGGAGGGTGTCTTCCGCCGGGTCGGACGCTTCGGGTCGTCCTGATTTTCCCGTACGGACCGGCGATCCGTTTCGTCGATTTGTCGTGACTGCGTTTTGCGCAGGAATTTGCCGTCGTGTGCGCTTTCACTTTGACTGCCTGGCCGCCCCCTGTGCTGGCTTTTCTGCGTGTCTAGACAGTGCGAGGTCAGCGGCTTCGAATTAGGGGTTGCGTTTACGTGTGCTACTCGGCTGTTCTGCAAAAAAAAAAAAAATTCTCCATGGTGCGTGGCCTCCAAGTGTCCCTATTCTTTCATGTGCTTTGCTTGCCGCCCCTGCGCCGAGTGCAACGAATACTCAGAAGGACTAACATTAGTATGCCTTGCGCGGTCTGACCAATCGAAAGTCTACACTGCGTAGTTTTTCCGGGCTATGCAAAACTGTCGATGGCAACGCGTACTGCAGCCTGCTCCACACCCTGGAAACGAGGTTGGGTCTACGGTGCTCGCTATATGAAGCGCAAGCATGTGGCGTCGCGTGATAGAGTGCTGTTGCTTCCATAATGTGTTTACAGCTCCATGCTTCCACCACCAAGGCTGAGCGTTGTGAGTTCGCTGCCCGCCACGTATAATTCAGTGTTGCGTTATAATTTCGGGGGCCTGCTTGGGGCCAACGAAGGATCGATGCATTGCTTCAAATATCGCGATCTTAAACGCAGTCACAAAAAAAATCGACGAAAAAGTGTCCGACACGGCGCGAGACACCCACATTTTTCCACGGACGTGAAGCCGCGGTCTCGGATCCTTTCAGGAGCAAACATTTCTCGGAGGCAGAGTAAAACTTGCTCTTATATAGATGGTTGAACCAACTTCAATAAAAGTTAAATCGACTTTTTCCTCGCAGACGGTCTCGCAAATTGTAAGAAGTTCAAGTTTACGTTTGTTGAAGAGTCCAATACTGAAACTTAATTATGACTTTCCTCCATGATTCAGACCGTTTGTAATTTTATGGTAACACTCAACATTTTCATTTCAAATGACACCTTCACGTTTTATTGCATTATGATTTAAACCAGCCTTCGCCTGTGTACTACAGTAACCTTTTCACTACGTTTTCCAAATGCGACTGCCTCACAAAAAGCCAATTTAACAGACCAACGGCGACATTTACAGACAGTTGCCACGGTACATAATTATCATGTGCGTAAATCGACGGGGGACAGGGGGAACCCCCCCACCCCCCCCCCCCGCCCACCCCCCCCCACCCCCACACACACACATTTTGAGGCGGGGGGCATTGTTTGGTCCCCCCCCCCCCACTTTTTCTTCCCCGAATAAAAATATTGTAGCCTACAATAATGATTCTATTGCTCAGAATACATGTAGCTGATTCAATTACTCCAAACTCAAAAACTTTAAAAGAAGATCTTTTGCTCAAATTGGTTTTATTGGTCAGAAATTGCCTTAGATCACACCACAGAAATTGCCTTTCTATAACTGCATGTCTCCCCAACTATATCCCCCATTTACATTTAACTCCCCACATTTTCATCCCCAACACTACGCCCTACCCGATCTATGATCGGGTAAATCAGCTTGTTGTTAATAATCGTCGGATTTGAACAGCACTCCCATTGAAAGTATGGCA